ACCACCAATGCCATGGCCTGCACCATAGGCGCCTACCTCACCCCCAACACCTACATGATCATAAGTGAGGAGGGTTCTAGCAGCTGAACATATTCCTATACCCAATAATAGAAAGAAAACAATGTTAACAACTTTAAGCTTCGCCATTGCAATGTAGTTGAATGCCGCAAATCGACTTGGGATAGAATGCAAGAATCGGAGGCTATTTATAGATGTAGAAACGCGTCTATATGCTCAAATCACATGCAAAAGAACTAAAGGCAACTCCTTTTGTCCCTACAATTTAAGTGGTCCACTTCACTAACATCCTCACAGATTTGACATCATTTCATTTTAATTCAATCTCTACTCCAATTAGACCAGCTAGTGTGCTTGTGCTGTCTCCCATATTCGTTAAGTATACAGTATAAATATTTCTTAATACCATACTTTTCTTAATTCTTTATTTTTGATATATCTTGTAGTTGGAAGTCCGACTCAGTTTCATGTATTCCTCCCAAACTAATTATATATTTTAGTTCCACTTAATCGATACGGTTCTTTATGTTTAATATACTTTATTTTGTGTCACATTCTCTAATTTTGAGTTGGAAAAATGTGATGCGTCATTGAATTAGGCCGATTAAGATTAGAGTTCTTATTCAACCGGGGCTTGCTAATTTTTGAGCTTTTATGAATTTAACTTATATGCACTTGCGGTAAAAGTATATTACCCAATATTCATACTAAATCAATTGATGCATGATACATTATTTGTTCGATCATTCGATACTCGAAGCTGACTGGTCCGACTAATTCAGATTTGCGACGGCAGGCCCACTATGGGGTACTTGAACTCGAGGCCTTTGTTTATGCTATAGTTGTTCTCTTCGTTGGGATGTCAGCAAGTTAGGTAGCTCCAAGGGTGAAGTCCACCACACCTATTGATGGTAATAGATACATAATATGTGTTTGCGAATATTGATGTTGCAAGTTACCTACCTCATTTTTCAGGTTGCTATTTTCCGTTTAATGTGAATAGTCACCTATAATTATCTTTTAGGTGATCTAATAGTGTATAATAAAAACCACTCTCCTTCTGAATGCTCTCGGCGCATCTTAGCGTGTGATACTAACGTGCGCCATCAGCCATGGGAGGACGAGGCCGACCTAAGAAAACTGTAACGAAGGTACAATTAGCTGAGTTCATAGCATCAACAAGCAGGAATGGTGAACCAAACAAGACCATGCCAGTTCAAGGAAATCAAAGTCGCGAAAAATAGATGACTACACCAAAAATGGGGGAGAATGCAAAATCGGAGATGACGAGCATAAATAAAAACTTGAATTCACAATACGCGAACAAACAGGCTGAAATTCAACAGATCGAGGTACATGCAAGTGAATCGCATAACGTGGAAAGTAAAAAAGCTGAAGAAACACATGCAATTCAATCGAACAGTGAAAAACAACCAATTGTAATTGAAGCAAGTACAGAGAAGGTTAAGGATGGCAAATCCTGGGCAAATCTGGTTGCTGGGAACACTTTTACAGCTAGAGGAATGGGATTATCATTTGTGGCACCAGTAATACAGAATGGGGAAAAAATAGTCGAATTGCAACAGGATGAAATTGAGAAGAAAACAGAGAAGTGGAAAATGGCAGTTATTTTGTATGTAGTAGGGGATACACCAAGTATTGGAGCCATAGAGAGGTTTATTGCAGCTCAATGGAATTTCGTATCTAAGCCAAAAGTGTACTACCATAATGATGGATTCTTTATAGTGAAATTCAGAAATGTAGAAGAGAGAAATGAAGTCCTATACTCAGGGCCAAGCATTATTAACAATAAGCCAATAATTACTAAAGCATGGATAGCAGACTTTGATTTCAATGAAGAGGTTCTGAAAACATTGCCATTGTGGGTCAAACTAGCAAACTTACCACTGAATTGTTGGGGAATGGACTCATTGAGCCGGATAGTGAGTGGATTGGGAGTCCCAGTTTATGCTGATGAGTGTACAACAAAGGTAGAAAGGATATCCTATGCTAGAATCCTTGTGGAAATGGATATCACAAAACTATTGCCAACAAGAATACTAGTTAAGGATCCGAGTGGTAGGCAGTTTGAACAAGCAGTTACTTATGACTGGAAGCCTATGTACTGTAACCATTGCTTACAAATAGGACATAATTGCCAAGCCAAACAAGCACAACCACAGATGAATAGCAACAAAAACAGAAGCAGGAATGGAAGCCAAAGGAGCAGGGAAGTCAAGGTGCTACAAAGGATGAGAATCAAGCACCAGCAATGAATTCAAAACTAATAATCCAGAAGCACAATATGCAGAAAACAACAACTGAGGAAGAGGAAGGGTGGCAAGCAGCAAAAGGAAAATCAGCCACAAAAAATACTCAAGCAACATCAACACAAGGAGTTGAAGTGGGTAATGGATGTCATGTTCTCAATAACCCTTATTATACTGCACAGAATAATGTGATAAGCAGGAGTGATAGAGGACAATGTAGTCATGGGGGAAGAGTGAAAGAAGGGATACCATACTCTATAGCTAAATGAAGGTGGTTAGTTGGAATGTCAGAGGGTTAAATAAAGTATATAAGCAAAAGGAGATGCAGAGGTATATTAGAGAACATCATATTAGTATTATAGCTATTATAGAACATAGAGTACAAGAAAAATTTTCACAAAAAATCATACAAAAAATAGCTCCTACATGGGAATGGTGTGCCAACTATGATGGTGGAGGAAAGGGTAGAATATGGGTTCTATGGGATCCAAATGAAATCAGATTCAGTATGAAAGATGCAAAAAGTCAGTATATACATGGAGAAATAGTACAGATGGATACAAAATTAGAGTTTACATTTACAGCCATCTATGGGCTGCATACAATAGAGACAAGGAAAAGTTTATGGAGGGATCTAGTAAGCTGGAGCCAATATCAGACAAAGCCTTGGTTATGCATGGGTGATTACAATACTATTCTAGCAGTGGAAGATAGAATAAATGGCAGTTCAGTACAAGAAAATGAAATTAAAGACTTCAAAGACTTCCTAATAAGTACAGGAATGTGTGAGATGAGAACAATGGGAAGAGATTACACATGGACTAATTCACATGTGTTCAGTAGAATAGACAAGGCAATAGTAAATGCAGAATAGGTAATTAGCATGCCACATGTTGATGCTGTGATTATGGATCCTCTATTTTCAGATCACTCCCCTTTGTGTGTGAAGATTGGAGAAGAAACTAAGGCCTCAAAGCCATTTAGATTCTTCAACCACCTGGCTGAGCATAAGGACTTCCTTACCATAGTGACAGAAGCATGGAACAAAACATCACAAACAAGGAATATGGCAGGGGTCTGGAGAAAATTAAAAGATGTTAGAAGAGAACTAAAAGGGTTGAACACAAAAGAATTCCAAGCAGTAGATTTGAAGGTCAAAAATACCAGACAAAAACTACAGGAAATTCAGCAGCAGATGAGAACCACGTACCACTACATAAATTTGAAGAAGAGAAAGAATTGAAGCAGCAGCTGGAGAAATGGGCTACTATAGAAGAAATCATCTATAAACAGAAATCTAGAAATCAGTGGCTGAAGTTGGGAGACTCCAATACTGCTTTTTTCTTTGCCAGCATGAAGAATAGAATAAGCCACAACAAGATCAGAAGCTTGAAGACTAATGATGGAGAAATAGTACAAGATGAGAGTGCAATACAAAATGAAATTGTGAACATCTACAAAGAGTTATTAGGAACTGCAGCTGATAGCATACCGACCATACAGCCAGCCATTATGAAGGAGGGCAACGTACTAGATAGGGGCCAACAGTTGAGGCTAATAGAACCTGTTACTACAGAGGAAATCCAAAGTGCTCTAGAAGGAATAGATGATCAAAAGGCTCCAGGATGTGATGGATTCAATTCAAAGATATTTAAGAAGAGATGGCGTATCACATGTCAAGACATATCCAAGGCAGTGCTCCAATTCTTTGATACAGCTGAAATGTACCAGCCTATTAATGTAACAACTGTTACTTTGATACCTAAGGTGCAGCATCCTTCAACAATCAAAGAGTTCCGGCCTATTTCTTGCTGCACAGTAATATACAAGATCATATCCAAAATCCTGACCAGCAGATTGCAAGGGGTGATGGATCATTTAGTAGATAAAAGCAAATCTGGCTTTGTACCAGGAAGAGTTATCACAGACAACATAATTCTCAGGCATGAATTGGTTAAGGGGTATGGGAGAAGAGGCATCTCACCTAGATGTATGATGAAAATAGACATGCAGAAGCCCTATGATTCCATTGAATGGGACTTCTTAGAGCAAGTACTGAATACTTTGAACATCCCAGAGAAGTTTGTTAGATGGATAATGGCATGTGTTAAAACAGTATCCTACTCTATTCTCATCAATGGGAAACTTATGGAGCCATTCAAAGCTAGAAGAGGATTGAGACAGGGTGATCCACTATCCCCATTTCTCTTTGTGCTTGGTATGGAATACCTTACAAGAAGTTTCAAGACTCTGAAGCATAAGCCAGACTTTAATTTCCACCCTAGATGTGCTAAACTAGACATCATCCAACTAGGATTTGCAGATGACCTGTTGCTGTTTTGTAGAGGAGATACTGTTTTTGCTCAAATGATATTCAACTACTTCATGGAATTTTCTAAGGCATCTGGACTTAAAGCAAATACAGCAAAGAGTTCCATATACTTTGGGGGAGTACCATAAGAAATACAACAGAGCATTGCACAAATAACTGGTTTCAATAAGGGAGAGATGCCTTTCAAGTACCTTGGAGTTACACTCAGCACCAAAAGAATCACTATGATACAATGCCAGCCACTTTTGGAGAAAATATTGGGAAGAATCACCTCCTGGACTTCAAAGTATCTATCTTATGCAGGAAGGTTACAATTGATCAAAACAATGCTGTTTTCCATTCAAATATACTAGTCGCAGATATTTGTAATTCCTAAGAAGATGATGAAAAAGATAGAAGCAGTCTGCAGAACATTCCTATGGACAGGTGGAACAAATATTTCAAAAAAAGCTCTGTTGTCATGGGACAAAGTATGCTTGCCAAAGACTGCTGGTGGTTATAATGTTATGGATATGCTAACATGGAATAAAGCTGCAGTATGTAAATTACTATGGAATCTCTGTAAGAAGAAAGATAAGCTGTGGGTTCAGTGGATTCACCTATACTATGGGAAGAAGCAGGAAGTGTGGGAATCCAATCCAAACAATGCATCGTGGATAGTTCAGAAAATCATCAAGGCAAAAAGACATGTAGAGGCAGCAGGAGTTGATATGAAAGAACTGGCAGAATGGAACTTTTTCTCTATCAAGAAGTGGTACAAAGGCATGCGAGGACAGTATCCAAAAGTGTCATGGAGAGGACTAACGTGCAACAATCTAGGGGCTCCAAAATGGATTTTTGTGCTGAATCTAGCTTTGCAAAATAGACTCTTCACAAGAAGCAGACTCCATGCGTGGGGAATTACAAATGACATAAGCTGCCCCTTGTGTAATGAAGAAGATGAGACCATAGATCACTTGATGTTTAAATGCAGAATTCCTGGAAGTATATGGAGCAAGCTGCTCTAGTGGCAAGGCATAGCAAGACCCCCGATGGAATGGCAAAGAGAGGTACAATGGGCTGAAGATAAAGCAACAGGGAACAATTCAAAAGCTCAAGTCTATAGGATGACTTTGACAGGTGCAGTATATCATATATAGAGTGAAAGAAATAGGAGAGTATTTCAAGGAGAGCAAAGGACAATAGAGGTGATAGTTAGACAAGTTATACAAGAAGTTGTAAATAGGGGACTAAGAAGCAAGAAGTTAGAAAGGACAATGGACAAAATGAATTTCTATCCTTAGTTGATATAGAAGAAGTGTAGTAGAGGTTGTTTGAAACTAGGAGTGTCCAGTTTTCAAATTGAAATTGTACATATTTGCTATTGGTAAATAAAATCATTTAATTACCAAAAAAAATTAAAAAAAATAGTGTATAATATTTTTGCATTGTTAGCATAAAATTTAAAATATTTTATCTAATCAGACTACTTTAAAAGAAATTTCTTAAAAGAGCGGGGACTTTTTACAATTCTTTAACCCCCTCCCTTTATGTTTTGCAAGATGCTTGCAGGTGTATTATTCATATATAACTTTGGTTAATTTGCTGTCTATCTCCCGTGAAAGCTAGTACATATTTTATTAAAGCCATGAATGACCAATAATTAAGAGGGCGAACCAATGTGCCCATATACGAGATCAGGCAATAATCAAGTAGATTAGCTTGACTCAGTTTAATTTGGTGAACAACGATTAGGAAGTTGCTACTTATCCAACTGATAAGATCCTATAATAGGGATATCCTGATAATCAAACAGGATAGAGGAATCTTGAAGGCAGGAAGCCAGGAACCATGTTTAGCTAAACCATCCGCTACTTGACACTACTAGAAATCCGGAAAAAAACGATCACAAAAAGCGACCAGTGTTGGTCGCTTATTGGCCAAAAAGCGACCAAAAAGCGACCAAACGTGCCTGGTCGATATTAAGCTGGTCCCTTTACCTTAGGGACCAATTAGCGACCAACTTTGGTCTCTCAAGTCAAAAGACCAAATATTTCGGTAAAGACATTGGCGACCAACTTTGGTCGCTATATTATTTTAATATTATAAACTTTGCGACCAAAGTTGGTCTCATTTATGTAAATTTCGTTTTTTTGTTTATTATTAATTATAAAGTAGCGACCAACTTTGGTCTGTATACGAAATATTATATTTTAAAATCTGGAAAATTGCGACCAAAGTTGGTCGCTATACTATAAATTTTTTAATTATTTTTTTTAAATAAGCGACCAAAGTTGGTCGCTAAATACATGAATTAATTTTTGTATTTATTAATAAGCGACCAACCCTGGTCGCCATATTTCCAGAAATTGTTAATTTTCTGGTAAATAGCGACCAATCTTGGTCACTTTCTGGGAAATCTGGGTTAAATAGCGACCAACCTTGGTCGCTATTTCACAGAAAATTGTTTTCTTTAATAGAAATGCGACCAAATAGCGACCAAAGTTGGTCGCTTTTCTTGGTATATTGTTGGCAGGAACTGCCTCTTTTGGCAGCTACACCACCTGCCAGCTTACCAAAATTTCTAAATAGGCAAATATGCCAACAACAGCAACAACAAGCAACAACAACAACAACAACAATTATAACGAACAAAGTATAAAGTTCAATAGAACTTTATACTTTAAGCTAATTAGCAAACTAATAAGTTAAATGTTATTACAGAACCATTCGAAAACCAATTGTATTTGTCTAGAATAAACTAATAAGTTCAAAGATTATTCTCTACATCATTATCATCACCGTCTGATGAACTTTCTTCACCATGACGGTATCTAGAATGGGCTATTTGTCGATGATGGGAAGAATGACCACGGGGAGGACGGGGGGAATGAGCATGGGGAAGGCGAGCCTCTGGCGATGACTCACGAGACCGGGGAATTGGAAAATTGCCAGAAGCTAGGAGAGTTTTGATCTGCTCTTGCATGCCCTTGCACTGAGCTTGCATGCCAGAGTACTGCATATCTCTAAGCCTTTCTCTCTCCTTGGCGGCTTCTAGCTCGGATGTGAGCTTTGCCACAATCTCCCGCATAGAGGAGAGGCTCTCCCTATCAAGTTGCTCGGCTTGGGAGGAAGTCCCTATTCCTTGCATTCCACACTTATAGCGATGGAATTTCTTATTAGGAAGCCCGTATACCTTCCCCCCTTTTGGACCGCCAGCAGCCTGCGTCCACATTCTCTCAGCATCCTCGTCCGATAGTTGGATTGGTGCACCGGACTCATTAGATGGCTGACTGCGTATGAATTGCTCCACTTCAGCTGTGAAGCGACCCTATAAGAAAAATAATATGTGAATTACTATTTCCAAATTTATATAAAAGTAAATCAAAATTCTTAATGAAAAGTGAAAACTTACATGTACAGTCGAGGCTCGGCCCTCGACCCACCTTTCTTGGTCCATCTCTTCCTTCTTCTTCACAATATGAGTCTCCTTGAAGAGCTCATCTTGGTTCATCGGACGCCCCAACTTTTTTTCCTGAAAACTCATAAATTTTAGTTAATAAACAGAATACATATACTAAGAAAATTAAAATAAATTAAGCAATTACGTACCATTCTTCGTTTTATCGTCCCTAGGCTGACCGCACCTCCAGTGTGCAAGGATCCTCCCTTCTCAGATGCCCGGGCTTTCTTTCCTTTTTCGCTCTTCTCTAAGAACTCTGCTGTAAGCCATTGCCTTTGCAAATCATCCCATGAATCCTGAAGCATCCAGCCAGGCTTCTGGTTCAACTGCCTAGCTTTGGAGAAACAATGGGACAACCGCTTTCGAGCTTTGAGATGGAAGTTTGCTGCCACTTCTGTGCTATAGCGGTGTTCTCATACACACTTGCTCTGTATTTCAAAAGTCAAGTATTATATGGAAATATCATATTTAGATGGAAATATCATAAAAGCTATATTCGATATATTATACTTAGCTTTTATTAGCTAATAATTATTCAAAAGTTAAGTGCATTAACTGCTTATAATATAATATTAGCTAAAATCTAATAAATGATTATACTGCTTAAAAGAATATTTATACCTTAAATTGATTGAAGATTGCCTCCTTGAGAGCGAATGGGAATTCACTCCAAGTCGCATAGGACCATCATAAAGCTTTCTGGTGGCTTTGATGATGATCCTTGTAGTAACATTACTAGGGATGAACCTACAATTTTATTAAAAGAAACACATTAATATCTTAGTCAAACTGTACTAAACAAAAAAAGTTAAAATAACAAATAACTCTTACCCGTAACCCTCAGGGACTATGATGATCCTGCCATATTCATCATAATGCACCTCCTCGTCATTAGCAGCATCATTGTCCGAAGCATGTACATCGGAGGCATGTGTGGAAGGTGTAGGGGGGTCAGAGCTAGTATCTCGCAGGCGAAGGCCTGCAATAGATGGAGTCCCAGATGAAGATAGCTGCGAGCCCTGGGACTGCGAGCCCTGTGAGTGAGACATAGCTGTATGGGCCGCAAGTGGATGAGACACAGATAGCTGTGACCCGAGTGGCTGTGACACGGATGGCTGTGATCCATGTGGATGTGACATGGATCGATGCGATCCATGAGCTGTTGATGGATGCGATCTATGTGGATGTGAGACAGGTGGACTGTATGTAGGTCGTACAGTCCTATGGCCCTGTGAAGAAAGACCTGGCGTCTGCACGAAGGTGTAGGGCTGGACATGCGCTGGCAGCTCAGAATAGCCCTAGGGTGGAGGCGCAGGCATAGGCATAGGCACAGACATCTATAAAGAGGCAGGAACGGATTGAGTAGTACCTTCTACCCTCCTCTTTTGTTTCCTAGGCTTTTCTCTACCCCGAGAACCAGTAGGATCACTGTTACCTTGACCCTTGCCTGACATCTGCATGACATAATACAAAGTTAGATTGAAACATATAAAGAAACTAGCTATAACATGAGTTATTAAAGAAACCAACTTTTTAAAGCTGATCGACGTTAGTTCCTCGTCCGAGAATTCTTCTTCCTCACTGGTTTGAGCTTCATCAGTTGATTCTTCTTCCTCGTTTTCTATAATTCTTACTTCATCCATATCAACTTCTTCCAATATGTGTTCAGGATGTTCCAAATCATTTTCTAAAACTTCGTCCACTATTTGGTGAACACTGGAGATATCGTTTTGATATGCAACATCTAACACCTTCTCGACTTCTACCCTATCCACAGGCTTAGTTTTTATTACAACCCACCAATCAGCCTTATTCCGCCGCAATGGATAAGGAGCATAATACACTTGCCTAACATTATGTGCAATTATGAAAGGATCATAGCGATCATACTCCCTCGTATGATTAACCTCAATTATGTTGTATTGATTGTGTACTCTTGTACCTCTTGTTGGATGTGGGTCAAACCACTTGCATCTAAAGAGTATCAATTTCTTATTTGGCCAACCTGAATATTCTAGTTCTATTATTTCTTTGAGCACACCATAATAATCAATATCTCCATCTTGGTTGCCATCACCACCTTGAACCCACACCCCACTGTTGTTGCTATTTTTATTTTTAGAGCAATCCTCTTTATGAAACTTATAACCATTCACAACGTACTTAGACATGGTTGTGACCTCAACCCCAGGTCCCCAAGATACATCTTTCAAAAATTGATTTACACCATTATTTGGATCATTTACCTACAAATCGTTAAATAAATTCATAAGATAGCATAACTTCCAAACATTGTTTACCTACATAGTGTTAGAATATTTTAAGGAGAAACTTACAAATTGTTTGAACCACGTATCAAATCTCGTATATACAGCATCATGGCCAAATTAACCCACAAAGTGATTGTGACACATCAAATATTTTTAGTAGTTGCATTGAGATGTAGTCACAGTAATTTTTAGATTCTGATAACTACTAAATCAATACTTACTTGAGATATGGTACAACTTCAGGACAATTTAGCAACACGTGAAGTGTAGCTGACTTGTACTCCATATCACTCAA